TTGGAAGGTCAAGTAATTGTTAAGGCATATGGGTAGTATAAAACTCGGAGGGGTCGGGCAAAGCTACTTTTTTGCGAATTTGTTATTTTCTTTCGAAGATTTTGGAGGTCTCGGTTCAAGACTGATAGGGCACCTTTACCAAGAGGGGTCATTAGTAGAAGTTATCAAGGGTTGGCTAGAAATTTTCAGATTTTCTTGTATACAATGGATTGATCTTGACCATTTAGTTGTTATCTAAGGCCATTAGTAGAAGTTATCAAGGGTTTTTAACTTATGCACTACTGCTTATATAAGGAGCTCTTTTAGATTATATTATGGAACTTTGGATGGATTATGAGCATATGAGATTTTCTCTCCATTTGCATTTTTGTGAGCACTCTATGGCAAACCTTAATCTTTGTTTTTTTGTTTCATGAGAGGCAAGAAACCAGAATACAAGAAAAGCAAAAATAACAGAACAGGAAATAAACCAAACAAGCTAACCAACTACCTACGGAGGGACTAAGCGTGGGATCGCCACGCCCCTAGAATCCTCCTCTAAAATCCTACTTAACTCTATCGGAACTACATTATTATGAAAATCAAGTTGAGAGTCTTGAATCATTCCGCCGTTGGCCAACCAATCCGCCGCTCAATTCCCTTCTCTATAAACCTGAATTACTTTAATCTTTGTTATTGAGATGACTAGATGAGTGATATAAACATTATATTCTTCAGCCTTTGTGATTGTAGAAAAAATTTAACTAGTTTGCTTGTTGATTTCCTTGTTTTTTCCTCAAAACATAAAAATCCAAAAATAGCTTCTTGGAAATTGAGAGAATTATGATGTATTGAATGTTTGGGGTAATAATTACATATCAGTCTATACTTAAATTATAAAGTGGTACTCCGTATGAAATACAAAGTCTAGGGAGAGGTGGGTTCAAAGATCACTAAAGAAGTATAAAGAATTATTGCTTAACAGAATTATTGCACATAAGTTAGGGGTTTTCCTTTAAGGGTGCATACATTTGAATCACCCCCTTACCCAGCTTAGAGTGGGGAGCCTCTTTAGAGACTTTAGGATGATGTTATACCTATTAGGGCCTATTAGCATGACAATGAAAACCCTATTGTAGACCCTATGATGACACTATACTTCCTCCGTTTTTTTTGTTATTGCACCATAGGGGTTGGATACAAATATTTTGGTATTGGAAAAAAGTAAGAGAGAGAAAGGTAAAAATACAAAATTGCCCATATGACATATTGATAAATTAAAAAGTAAGAGTGAAAAAGTAAGGGTATGTTGGGTATTTGTAGTGTGAACACAAGTTATTTTTTTTTTTCTAAAGTGGAAATAGTGCAATATTTATGAAACTTCCTAAAAAGACAAGTGATGCAATAATAAAAGAACGGAGGAAGTATTTTTTTCATTTGCAGGTATACCTATTAATACATAGCCTATTAGGCTTCGACTAATACAAATTTAAGCTGCGTCCCCAAGTCTCAAACCTGACCTTGGTGAAGCTAGAACAACTCCTTAGTCCTTACTATCTGTTCAAACAATTGTTGACATGTTGTTAGTCCATCGTAGACACTAGGAAGGTCCAAATATGTCATTTTGTTCGGTTAACACAATAATGGACACATAACGAGCCACAATAAGCACAAAAGTACATGGGTTACCAACTAAACTAGCTTACACGTCCAAAAGAGTACACCTTTAATTAATTATAAGTAACATATATAATCAAAATTAAATCAAATTGAAGAATCAGCTAAACAACTTAAAACTCAACATTTCCATATATATTAGAATCATTTTTGGACCAAAACTACCCTATATAAGCTTTCTCGAGTAGGGCAATGATGTAAACGAAATTCATACATAACTATGTTTCGGGTACTACCCCAAAGACGTTACCAACTAAGCTAGCAAGTATCCACAATTCCACACGAATCAAATCATTAATCACTAGATAACAGTTGTAACAATAATAAATTACATAAAGTAAATATATTAAATAAATGAATCAAGATTAAAAATTACCAATCAGCAGAGAGAAAATCAGGGATATCAGCAGAAGCTCTGAAACGGGAAGAAGTCCTCCTTTGTTGCAGTTGTCCATTAAAGGATTTGGAAAAGAGTGTCAGAGATTGAGGACTTGCTAAAGATGAACTAAACGACATCGTTCTTCTTCTTCTTCTTCTTCTTCACTGAATTTGATTATCTTTTTCTGGGTTTTCTGGGTTTAAGATTATGGGAAAAAAATTTGATCAAATTATATGAAAATTGTTGAATGGTTTGTATTTGTAATACTGGGTTTTGGTCCAATTTTTTTGGGATGCTTTTGATGTTATGACCGTTGGATCAAGATGATTGGATGAGCATCCGACGTGGCAATAGTCGCATTAGAGTGTTGTTTTAGATACGTGAATAGAATAAGTACTAGATGAAGCCCGTACGATGCACGGGTCGATCTATTTTTTTTAAAAAAAATATTTTCATATTTATGTGATTACATTTGTTATTTTATTAGTTATACACTTGTACGTAATACATCATTTTCTCTGTATTTGTTTTAAAATATTAGATAAATTTCATAATCTCAAAAGATAATATTTCGTATTTAATTAATGTAACCATTAATATCTCATTGGTCAATTATGCTTATGTGACACTTGAATTATTTATTGGATATAACTATAATTTATAATCTTACGTGGCACGTTAACTAATCTTAGGTGGCATAATCCTATTGTAGCGTTTTAAAAATATTAATCCTATGTGACGCTCTAATAATTTTTTAAAAATAAAAATCCTATGTGGTGCTCTTAAATCTCGGGAAAAAACTCCCCTTTATATATATATATATATATATATATATATATATTAGTGGTAAATTTGCCCATGATAAGAGTCATTCATAAGACTCCAACAAAAAGAGGAGAGGGCAAATCTACGATGTCAATTTGGGTGGTGGGTTGAGTCGAGCACGATTTCATCTAGTCTGGATAGGTTCAGTATTGGTTGAGATCAATTTATATCATGTTAAGATCTTTTTGAGTTTATGTAATATTCGGGTTGGTTTAATTTGAGTTTGAATTGAGCCAGTTTGAGTTTTCTACTGAAACAAATTTGTACTATGTTACAAAGTATTATAGGTCTAGGTCAAGTGGTCGTTATTAATAGATTAAACTCATTATAATCTTAAAATGTTATGAGTTTTGTGAATACTCAATGTGAATGCCCAAGGGCCCCAAGGCATGATTTATAGTAGAATTACAAGACATTTAATGTATAGGCAAATGTTTTTCCTAAGCCTAGTAATCTATATGTTGAAATATATGACTTGTGTAAGGCTAGTAATAGAAGTGTGCTTTAACTATAAATACTCGGTGAAATATGCAAAATTACCATTCTTCATTCATCCGTATTTGCAACTATATTACAGATAGTGAAAACCTTTTTTCTTTTAAAGAAATAGTGAAAACCTTCTACGCTCTTTCTCTTTATATATTTTGCAACACATCCTATAAAAAGTCGGACGAAAGGTTTAAAAAATAGTTTGACCAAGGCCCTCAAGAGTCAAGAGTTCCTGATGTTCATCTATTTGTTGGTTTTCGAAAGTCCAAAGACTTGTTGTTTTGACAAGTAAAAAGCAAGCCGAAGACCCAAGACTAAGTCATGATATAGAAGTTTTTGATCCATGACTAAGTCATAGTAATACAGAAGTTTCTTCCTCAGCTTCACCTATCAATTAATCTACTTTAAGGTCTTTAACTTCACCAAATGAAATCAAGATATTCTACATATAACCTCTCAATTTAACTCCTAAAACTTGCTTCAGTAACTCGAAATTACAGAGAAATGGCCAACTCTAATGTCACACACAGGCAAGTCTCAACCTTAGGCTCAGCACCCACTAAAGAAACAGATGATCATGAACCGAAAAGCTCAAGTTCGAAGCCAATATTCAACATTAACATCAGCATCTCTTTCTCATCTGCCTTCAACATACCCTCAACTCTGGAAGCAGCTGCTGCTAGAATCCTAAGAAACTTGGGCACTTTCCTACCATTCTATGTTATTTTCATAGGGGTTGTCCTGTTAATCACCCTTATTCCACAGCGAAAATTCTCATTGTTTCTCTTGCTTGTAAACACAAATTTCACTGTCCTGTACTTGTTACTGTTGCGCGCGTTTCCTAGCTCACTGTTGCTCCATAAATGGATCGACAAGCGACTTATATTTGCTGCACTTGCAGTAGCCACCATAGTTGAGATGATTGTCACTGATGCTGGCCTTCATCTTTTTTTTACGCTTGTTGGTACCATCCCTGTCATACTTATTCATGCTGTTTTGCAAGCTACTGAAGGGTATTCTGTCATTGAGGATCAAGTAACAGGAGCTAATGATTATATTGCTGAGACTGTGTGAGTATAATCTTGTTGGCTTGGGTGAATGAATTGCTGAATAAAGCTGTGTATTAAGTTGTATGACTATGTAATTGTATTGATATATTGAATGAATATGAATGTTCATACCAATTCAAGGGTTTTTCATCATCATCGACTCATCGTTAACAACAATCAACCATACAAATCCGGGTAAAGTCAAACTTAGAATTACAACCCTGTATTGGTATCAGAATGCAGAATTACCTGCCAATAAAAACCATGAACTGTAAGAGCTATAGGAGCAAGCTGAAATCCGACAAGAATAGAAAATCGTTTTGAATGTTTAAACTACTCGAGGACTTTTCCTAAGAGATTCTTGGGTAAGCAAGCTTTCTAGGAAGGCTCCCTTGGTCTAAGCTCGAGAGACATACCCGTGTAATAAACTCACCACAAGCACTACAATGTTAAATACAATGAAAAGCGAAGGTAGTTGCCTTCCTGCAAATCTGCAATCCTTGTGTCAATTCTATTACATAGTACTAATGTACTATATGTTGTTGTCAGAGTCTTACAAAACAAAAGTAACTAACTTGAGCAAACTAATTAGATGGGCAAACTATAATTTAACTTCTCAAACTAGCTAAAATTTAACAAAGTAATAAACAGGACCAGAATCATCCCATTTTTCAACACAGGGAAGTTGATATTTGCCACAGCATGGTAGTTTTGGTTTGTATTAGAATGGACAATAGAGACTGTAGAAAAGGTCCTACAATTGTAAAAATCACAAAATCTCGAGATTTAGCAGACAAGAATGGTATCATACCCCCATATATGATAACTAATACTGAGTACAAACTAAGTTTGAGACTAAACAATCTTCTGAAGTTCAAAACTCAGCTTCAGCTACAAACATAAGAAAAGCGGTCATTTCTTCGGTTGAGGAGGAGAAAGGTACTTGGTGACAACGTAACAGTCTGCTGGAGTGATGTTTGTGTAATAGTTGTGGATGGTATCTGTGATATCAAAGCCGAATTTCTTGTAGAAATTGAGAGCATCCTCGTTATTGGTTTGAACATGCATATAAATCTCAGATATGTTTTGCTTGGAGGAGAGTTCAAGTACATGGTTCAAAAGCTTCGTACCTGTGCAAAACCACAGAGAACCCATCAGACAAAAAGAATTCCACAGAGCAGCACTAAACTAAAGTGGTAATTTTTATAGGCTCAAGATCAGACGTATAATCTTTATGGGAAACTTGGAGCAAACAAGGTACTCCAAAGTCTCCAATATTAAAGGAGTTCAGGAGTCAAGGGTTAAGAATTCAAATTTCAGACATAATATCTGATGGAAAAACTAAGCATCTATCACAATTGAATAAAATTAAGGGAAATTTTATTTTTGGATAAATCAGGTCATTCTATCATGGTGACTTCTATTATAGATAATCTCAGTTTAAATATAGGTTTATAGAGAAGTTCATCAAGGATGTTAACCCAAATAGAGATAGCACCATTATTTGAGTGCTGACATAGAAACTTGATCAAACAAAGCAAGTCGCAAGTGCTGACGAAAATATTTCAAACAAACCAAGTCACAAGAGCTGACGTGGAAAGATTTCAAACATAGCAAGTCGCCTTCAATACAATGTTTCATTTTTTAGAATAGTTAAAACTTATTTAACTAGACAAATTAGCTGTTATGAGCAATGAATTATAAATTTTGAATCAATCTTGGGGCCATTGGACAGAAGTTACCATCTTTATTCAAACAATCATAAATTCACATTCTCAATTTAACAAAGGAGCAAAACAGCATACATCTCACTAACAAATACAAAGTACTATTATGATGGATTATAAATTCCATCCTTGATTTGACAAGAAAGATAGCAGTATATACTTACCAATACCTAGCCCACGATAGGGTGCCAAAACGCCCAATGTCATAATATAAACCCGAACAGCTCCAGCATCTTTCTTCTCAATACGACATGCAACTGCTCCAACACATATATCACTGTAGTAAGCTGCGATTGGAAAACAGATACGGATGAATATTTCATATACTAGTATTAATTAGTTGGACTCAAAAAGAGAAATTATGAGGCTCCAAACAGAGCCTTTAGAAATGGATACCTACATATCTCCCCCTCTTTTTGTCTATTCAATAAGTTTACTACTACATACAGTCGATACAGATAGGTTCACCATTATTTTTACTTTTTAATCACAATCAAGTTACTTTCAATACCCAGCTTGTTTTTCTTGTGGCCATGAATCATTGCATACTAATAGAGAAATAGCTTCACAATTTTCATAAGATTAACCATTTTTATCTATTACTAGCATTTTTGTTTTATTAAAGTCTTTTCACGACTAGAATTGACAAAAACAATAAATTATAATTTCATTTTATCCCAAGTGAGAATTAATAATGTGTTGTGACATTACTGTTCCAGCCAGCAACTGCATTCATGGAAGCGTGGGTCGGTATATTACCACTGACAGAGTTAAGAACAGAATGCCTCTAAAAAGAGCAATCCTTTTTGTTAGAAACAGATAATGGATCTTTTAATATCTGCATCAACAAACACTGTGCCGTAATAAATCTACAACAATAACTAAACCTTTTTTCCAAATTCTTTTATGCAGGAAAGGCTACTTTTTATATCAATAGGTTACACCGTTACAAAACATGACAAGAAGTGACACGTGAATACAAAAACAGTAACTAAGTACCCAGCAATTAATATCTACAATCTAACAAAGACTACAGAGCGTTGGTAATTTCAAATTTGCCATGCACAAACACTATCGTTTTTCTTTTTCAAAGATCACAACAATCAGCAGTGCAACACCGATGCCATCAATTCTCTTCATCATAGAATGATTAGGTACTGAGATCTGTATGGCATGATCTTGCACTAATCTACAATTTGGCAAACACAATTTATACATGTACTCCAAGCCACCCCATGATATTAGTACTCATTCAATTCTAGTGGATATGATGTGACAGTTCACAATGCAAAGAAGTTTTGCGTTCACACCAAAAAGGCATTGGATCCAGTATCCTCTAGACCCTATGCTGATACCTAAATCAGAAAGGAGATTGGCACTTTAAAGAAACATCAACAGACAGCAAATATAGAAAGTCAAGCTCCAAAATCTTAACACAAATAAGCAGTGTGTCTAATGATAATTTTTTCGGGTCTTAAGACAGCAAGATTGAGTAATGTTAAGTCAATACACAGTCTAGAGTTAATAGATGGCAATTAAAGCTAACATGTTAAGCTGACCCAAGAAAATTGCTACCTTTCATACCAAGTTTGTCAGCAACCAAAATCCTAACCGAAATAGGTGGAGGGATATCAAGGATAAGATCATTGAATCATTTCAATAGATCATAGGTCTTTTTCATTAATAATTTAACAATTTACTAAGGCTCCTTTAAATATTATATTTAAAAGACAACAAGTGAAACTTTTCTATGATTGCAGATTCAGCAACATGAAAAATGATGTTAGGGGCCAAAACAAAATGGATATAACTGAGCTTATGAACTAGCAATGGTCTAGCGCTTGTATGCTCGAGGTCACAACCGTTCAACTATTGAACTATGTGAACTTTCTGACACATACCATATATTTTTAACAAAAATACCAGGCAGGCCATAATTCCAGATTTTTAAAGGGAAAAAATGATGGAAATGGTTAAAATGAAAGATTTAGGAAAAGAAAAGAAAGCTTAAGATGAACCTTAAGTCAGGGGACAGTTTTATACAGCAGATACAATTACAAAGATTTAAAATCTATTCAGATTACATCTTACACCACTACAGAAAAAAGAGCACTGGAACAAAGGTATAAAGTTACTTCACGCTGAGAGCTTAAGGTAACAAACTAAAGACAGAAGAAACGAAGTTAAAAAGGAAAAGGAGGACTCAAGTTTAGCATTTTATCTTATATAGCTCATAACAAGCTACCTAGCTATTGCAGCTTACCAATAAGTAGTATAAGATGTAGTTGCACTGTGGCTACAATAAAGTGTAATGCACTGCATTATATCTTCAAGAAGGAAATTTAATAGATTGAACTCAAGTTTAATATTTAGGCCCTGTTCTCTTCACCTTAAAAAAATAATATTAAGTAAAAATAATTTCACTTCAGTAAAAATAAGTTCAGTCAGTAAAATTAATTTCAGTTCAGTAAAAATAAGTTCAGTTCAATAAAAAAAAGTTCAGTTCAGTAAAATTCAGTATTCTTAAAGAAGAATTATAATAGGAAATCAGTAAAAATAATTTCGGTTCAGTAAAAATAATTTAAGTTCAGTAAAAATAATTTCAGTTCAGTAAAAATAAGTTCAGTTCAGTAAAAATAATTTCAGTTTAGCAAAATTAAGGTGAATCAAACAGGGCCTTATAGTCTATTACTCATAGTACTGGAAATAAGACTTGCATATACACTAAGTTAAGAAAAAGAAAAACCTACAAATTTGGATTCATATGGAAAGAGAATCAACATGATAAAAAAGTTTAAAAGACAAAGACATGAATAGACACCAAGCGGTAGAAATAGAGAACTAAAAAAAAAAAAAGGATTCATTTGAAAAAGAATCAACCTGATCAAAAAATTAAAAAGACAATCTAAAAGAACAGAATTGCGCAACGATACAATGTTCCCATTCTACAATCAAGTACATAGGACCCTTTTTCAGCTAAATAAAAAACAGAGGCTGTAAAAAACTTATATGGAAATACCTCTCTCCACAATTTTCTAAAGAGCCCCTTTACAAACCTCTCAACAATGTCAGCTCTTTCCATCAAAATAGCAATAGTTTCTTATGAGATAATATTGTTTCCAAAGGAACAGTACCCAAAGGAGACAACCCTGAATAGTTCCTGCTACCCCTACACAGCCATACCTCCTTCCCTCTCTATCCCTCAAAGAATTCCTTTTCTGGTAAAAATGTATTGCCAGTTCTATCCTAACATTAATCACACAGAACCAAAAAGACCCAACCCTTACTGCTGTGAACAACTAAAAACTATTGAACAAATCATGTTACCTTATAAAATATTCCATTAAAGCCAACTAAATAAACATGTATGCTAAGCAAAGAGAGTGAAAGAATAAGACTCAGATACAAAAAGAGGCAGGTGATAAAAATGGGGAGAAAATGCCATGGCAGGAATATCCAATCAATAGGAAAAGAAAGAATCGTGAAAATGACATAAAAGACAAGTAGATTACTATACCTAATCAAAAAAGACTACATAGAACAGCAACATAAAAGCTCCCCTCTACAAAAAAACCTTCATTATATTACTCTTACATAGTCACGTTATCCTCCCTATAATAGCTTGCTTCATCTAGAATTACCATAAATCATCACAGCAATGAGGATTACCTTCTTTCCACTTTGTAAAATATTAACCCAAAAAAAAAACAAAGCTGATTGGTCATCAATCCAGCATAACTTCAACAAATGTTCAAACATCTAAAATCCATAATCAGAAAAATCTTTCTTCATCTAACTCAACTTTGCAACCGCAAAAACTCTTTTTTTGACAAAAATGCTTCACTTATCTTACAAATATATGCCTCCATTTGCACAAGTAGCATTCAACCTCCCTCCTTAAACCCTACCCCTCAAAGGCTCAAACCCATGTTTGCCAATTAATCCCTTCTGACAAGGTCAATCAGTACCTTCACTAGTTCAAAAATCTGAAAGCTCTAGCATGAGACTGCATTCAGAGATGATTGAAGTGTAAAAAACTATCCTTAATGCCAACTGCTCACAAGTACTTTCAGAGCCCTCGTCCGGGGCTAAGGAAATTCAAGCACACATAGATAATTGATACAACAAGTCAACAACAACAACAAAGCCTTATTCCCAAATGATTTGAGGTAAGCTAAAATGAATTGTCACAAGTAACCGTCTGATAAACACAGATAATTGATATAGCAAGAAAAATCAAAGGCATAATGGTTTTAAAAAATGACTCCCCTATGTAAAACAAACAGCTTCCAATATATAAGTTCAAAATCAACAAAACGGTGAGAATGTTTGATCAACCAACATACTACCAAATCGATCCCCTATATTTGTGCAGAGAAAGCTCAATAGTTAGTAGACTTTACTACTATTAACCTGGTTCCATGACTTCCATTCGTATAAACAAATACATCAAAAACTTCAACTAGGGCAGAAATGAACCCATTTAATTCTAAGTTACATTTAATAATCAAATCGAAGGAAATCAACAAGAAAAGCATAAATTCCACAAAATCAATATACAAAATGTAGCAAATCACCCAAATAGGCAAAAATGGAGAATTTTCATATAGTAAATGGACAAAATTCAATATTTTCACAAATACCCAGAATAAAATATCAACATTATTTTAAATACCCAGAATAAAAATTCAACAAAAACCAACAAAAAATGTGCAATTCTACAGAAATTCAATCGAACAATCATAAAAAAAAATGCGACAAAATGGAGAAACCCCAGATGAAAAAGGGGGAAAAAACGAACCTAATTTGGTGAATTCACCAGAAGCAAGTGCATCAACGTAATACTTATCATTGTATCGAACAGGAAAGAGGGTAACATTGAGCTTTTTAAGCTGCATTATATTCTTGTCCCTTACTTCATCCAACGAAATTGTCACTTCTTTCATCCTTTCTCTCTCCTCAACTAACCAGAAATTAATAAATTATACTGTTCTAATGAAAATTGTTTAAGATATGAACCCAGAAATCGCTATTTACTGTACTGAATCCTACGATTGAGGATTGCAGGAAGAGAAGAGAGAGAAAGAGAGAGAGGAGAAGGGCGAACAAGGGCTATTGTTTTTGGGCATGGGAGGAGGAGTCAATGCCATCTTACAAGTAACAACTTGTATATACGGGTCGGGTTTAACCCTTTGTTCACGGGCTCGCCATGGAGAAGCCCATACATTGGCCTCCAAGGACTAGAACTCTAGAAGTAGAGGTAGTTAATGAGTCCTTTTATATTCGTTTATTTAGGTGTCAAATATTTTGGTTTAAGTATGAAGTTTGCAAATCTCTTCCCAAATAATGTAATCTGTGGATTATTATGGAGAGTAAGACGTTTTTCTACCTATATTAACTATTAAGTTTCGAGTTGAGCATGATATTTTTTACGGAGTATTAGATTTGGTTTAGGTTTCGAGTTGAGCGTGATATGTTTGATTAGATTTGGTTTGTTAAATCAGCTTTGTCAAATTTATTTGGAATTGAATCTTGCTCAAATATTTTCTTTACAGTTTTAATGAGCTACTTCGTATCTATAACAAAAAACTATTTAGGAATATAATTTATTGAGTTTTTCACGGGTATAAATGAACATGCAATTTTATCTTAATATTCGTTTAATAAAAGCAAACATAAAGCAATTCATTATACTTGTATTAGATAAAGGGATAAACAAGTGATTTACTATTTCAAACACAAAATATTACCACTTACCATTTTAATTGATCCTTTTCGTTTCTAGCCACACAAGTTAATCAAACTTAAAAATGCAATCAACTTACAAAAGATACGAGCCTACGGCTATTAATCAATAAGGACAATAACACATATAACCAACAACGATGAATTAATAAAGCATTCGGTTCCAAACCCATTTATTACACACGAATATTAGCTAATTGTCAAATAAGGCCATAACTTTAAAAGTCGAGAACTATTGCAAACAAGTGGCAAACTCCAACTCAAACTTTGCACTTGGTGGGTTTAAAGATAAAAACTTTATATTTTTATTTTTGTAGTATCTTCTTCAACTTGTAGTAGTATCATCTCACTAACTTAGAGAGAGAAAGAGAAGCAAAACAAAACAATAGAAAAGATGAGTAGATGTGAGAAGGGGCAACAACCAAAGGCAGTGGTGGTGGGAGGAAGCATAGCTGGAGTATCGTGTGCACACGCGCTATTATCCGCGGGTTGGCAAGTTGTTGTGGTTGAGAAATCAGTTGGGCCCACTTCTGGAAGCCCAACTGGTGCTGGGCTGGGCCTGGACCCTTTGGCCTGCAACATCATCACCTCTTGGCTTGGTGATTCTGCTCCTCTTTACAAGGCCACCTTGCCTCTTACCATTGACCAGGTCTTTATAGTTTTATTCATTTTTCATATGGTTTTGATATTGGTTTGTTTCCTTAACTTTGACGGAAATTGATTTGCAATAATAAAATATGTGTATCTTCCGTAGAAAAAATATACAAGGATATGGATTTTGTGTGATTTACGTCTAAGTAGAGTACATTTTATTTTCCTTACAATTATAAAATTAAATTGCATTTAAAGTTTTTAGGTGTTTAAGAAAAAAAAGGAGGAAAAAAATATAAGAACGCTAGAAGGAGGGGTCGAACCTCCGACCTTGTGGTTAACAGCCACACGCTCTAACCAACTGAGCTATTCCAGCATGTTGGTTTAGTTTGTCTAGTTAAAATATTTGTATAAATTATGGTTCATGGATATGTAACTATTCTAAATTTCTAACCAATTAATCCCCTCTATTATGATTTTGTATATGAATCATGATACTCCATCTTTCCTGAATTAGTATTCATGTTGTGTTGATCCACATCATAAAGGATTCACCGCGATTTCTCAAAGTGATACTAAACAAACATTAGTTAACTAACTTACTCTATTCAATATTAGTTGTCACATTTTCACAACCTCTTATTACATGTCATAAATATTTCACGCTAGTGAACTTCAAGGTTAATAAACACACATTCGTTTGGGTGTTGATTCTTGATACAGAATCAAGTAACAGACATAGTGTCACGGTCCGAGTGATTCAACACCAGATCGTGCGGCGCGCTCTCGTCTTTTGGCGACAAGGGCGCAAGCCTAAAGCAAGGAGGTTCGTGAGCACACAGCAACACGGACCTACGGTGTCTCAAGAGGGCGCACGAGAACAACGAGTGCGGAGTCGGGGCTTGTGACGGCCGATACTTCGAAGCGGGCACAAGCGGAACCGACGAAAATGAGGACGTCTCTAGGGTCTCTTGGTTTGGTGGGGGATGCTTTAAAACAAGGCAAGCACAATATCTATAAAGGCTTAAACAACACACAAGTCTTAAAGCAATAACAACGGGGTAGAGAGCTTTGATTGAATAACCATTCGCTCCCTAAAGAGCTTTATATTGCATTAGTAGAGAATTACAAGTGAACGTTGAAATGACAGTAACACAATAATTCTCCCTAGGGTCTAGAAAAATAAAAAGAAAGACTAAAGAGACATTACATAAGGAAAATATAAGGAAAATAAAGAAGAATACATAACAAAGAGGTTGGATTCTAACATCCTCCCCCACTTAAGTCGTCGACTTACAAAATCTACACTAAGATCTTAGCAGCTTCAGTCTTCTGTTGTAGGGGTGGCTCTTGTCCTGGTTCTGATGTTGGCGCGGTAGCTGACGTTGCGGTTGCTGTCGTCGGGATCTGGATGGTAGGGTTTTAGACGACTAACGTGGAAGACGGGGTGAATCCTCATCCACGCAGGCGGTTCTACCTTGTATGCGTTCTTCCCAATCCGTTTAGTGATGCGGATGGGGCCTTCATATTTCCGAATGAGGCGACGATCTCTCCCTCTGAGAAACTTCAGCTGTTCTGGTAAGACCTTCACCATCACCATGTCCCCAATAGCAAAATCAACTGGCCTTCTGTTTTGATCAGCCCATTTCTTCATCCAGCGCGATGCTCGCTCTAGGTAGGCTTTTGCAATGTCGGTGTTTTGCTTCCACTCTCTTGTAAAATCTCGAGCCTGAGCACTCCTACCGCCCTCCCAGTCAGCCACTGTGTGCGGGAGGAGAGGTTGTTGACCCATGACCAACTCAAAGGGGCTTTTGTTGGAAGAAGAACTCCTTTGAGCGTTGAAGCAAAGTTGTGCGACGTCCAAGAGTCTCACCCAATCTTTCTGGTTGGCGCTCACAAAGTGACGTAAGTATTCCTCGAGAAGCCCATTGAATCTCTCTGTCTGCCCATCAGATTGAGGGTGGTGGCTTGACGACATGTTGAGGTCAGACCCCATCATTTGGAATAGCTCAGACCAGAATATGCTCGTGAATCTGGTATCCCTGTCGCTTACCATGCTCTTTGGCAATCCCCAGTACTTCACAATATGCTTAAAGAAAAGATATGTCGTTTCTTCTGCTCCGCAAGCCTTCTGCAAGGGTACAAACGTTGCGTATTTTGAGAACCTGTCTATCACCACCATGATAGAAGAGAACTGGCCAACCTTCGGGAGGCCACTAATGAAGTCCATCGACACACTCTCCCACGGTCGAGTTGGTACAGGAAGAGGTTCAAGGAGGCCCCCGGGCTTCTGTCTGTCAACCTTGTCTTGCTGGCACACAAGGCAGGTTTTGGTGTAGCTCATCACATCTTCCTTCATTCCTGGCCAGTAGTACCCCATCGCGAGTAGACTGAGGGTTCTCTGCCAACCTGGATGTCCCGCCCACAGCGTATCATGGCATTCCTTCAACAACATTTTCCTCAATAACCCCTGCTTTGGGGATGAACAGCTTTGTACCTTTGGTGAAGATGAGGCCATCTTCCAACCAAAAGCGTCTAGTCTTCCCTTCTTCAATCATCCTTGTTATGGTTTTTGTCATCGGATCATCTGGGAGATAAGCACGAACTTGATCTCTAACGGATGTGGCAATGCTGCTTGCCGTCATTGGCGCTAACTTGTACATCGCAGCAAGATCGGCCCGCCTACTCAGGGCATCGGCAACTCTATTGCTGGATCCTGTTCTATAGGTGAACTCCACGTCGAACTCAGCTAAGTCCTCCTGCCACCGAGCTTGTTTTCCTGTCAGCTTGGGTTGGGTGAGAAAGTGACTCGCCGCGGTGTTGTCTGTGCGGACGGTAAACTTTGACCCCAACAAGTAGTGCCTCCATCCTCTTAGGCAGTGCACAATGGCTAGTAGCTCCTTTTCTTGTGCCGCATACCTTCTCTCCGCATTATTCAGCTTCCTACTTTCGAATGCAATAGGATGTCCTTCTTGGAGGAGCACTCCTCCTAAAGCAAAATCCGAAGCATCCGTCTCGACCACGAATGGTTTGGTGATGTCTGGAAGGGCAAGGACCGGCTCCTTCACCATTGCTTCTTTCAACTTCTGGAAAGCTTCCTTCTGGGGCCCTGACCATTCCCAACAACAATCTTTCCTCAATAGGTCGGTGAGGGGACTTGCGATCTCTGAGTATCCCTTAATGAATCTTCTATAATAGTTCGCCAGTCCTAGAAAGGATCGCAGCTCAGAGGGGTTCTTGGGATCCCGCCAATCGCGAACAGCACATATCTTCTTTGGGTCCATCCTCAATCGACCCTTCCCCACAAAGTGTCCAAGAAATCCGACTTCTTCCTGCGCAAAGGCACACTTTTCTCGTTTCACAAAAAGGTGATGTTCTCTCAGCTTCTCGAAGACCAATCTTAGGTGCTCGAGGTGCTCCTCCAAAGTCTTGCTGTAGACAACGATGTCATCGAGGTACACGACCATAAACTTGTCTAAGTACTCTCGAAATACTTGGTTCATCAGAGTACAGAACGTAGCAGGTGCATTCGTCAAGCCGAAGGGCATGACTAGCCATTCGTATGCCCCGTATCTCGTCACACAAGCAGTTTTTGGTTCATCTCCTTCGGCGATACGAACTTGGTGATAGCCAGACTTCAAGTCTAGCTTTGTAAAGTACACTGCATCCCCTAACTGATCGAACAAATCCGCCACCAAAGAGATAGGGTAGTGATTGCGCACCGTAACCTTATTTAATGCCCGGTAGTCGATACACAATCGAAGACTTCCATCTTGTTTTTTCTGAAAAAGCACAGGAGCCCCATAAGGAGCCTTTGATGGGCGGATGAAGCCTGCCTCAAGCAAGTCCTCCAATTGTTTCCGGAGTTCAGCCAATTCTGGGGGGCCATGCGATAAGGGCTTCGTGCTGGGGGGTTTCGCCCCTGGAACCAGCTCAATCTCATGGTCCACTGTCCTTCTAGGTGGGAGAACTTTTGGTAGGTCTTTCGGGAGGAGATCCTGGAACTCTGATAGTAGCTCGGCAACTGCAGGCGGAAAGTCTCCACTTGCTTCATCTTCCTTCGTGGAAAATGTTGCTAGGAACGTGGGATCGTTCCTCTTCAACCCCTTCTCCAATTGCATTGCTGAAAGGAGGGGCCCTTTCGACCCTTTTCCTGAATCGCAGGTTCGGAGGAGACATGGTTGATGCCCGGGCACCAGAATAGATCTAAGATGCGGCATCGGGACTGCCTTACTAAAGTGTAAGAAGTCCATGCCGAGCACCAAGCTGAAGTCGTCCATTGGCGCAACGGTAAAGTCCACCTGTCCGCTCCAATCTCCCAGCTTCATTGTTACTTTCTTGGCAACGCCGTGGATCGGTTTGGCAACTGAATTCACCGCTTTCATACTGCCTCCTTCTGGTAGGAGCTTCAACCCAAGTCTTTTTGCCTCCTTTTCTGAAATGAAGTTGTGGGTAGCACCGGTATCCACCATGGCACGAGTTTCCTTTCCGTTTACCAACGCATTCACATACATCAATCCAGAGTTTTTGGGTTGGCCCTCAGAGCCTTCTCTTCCCATAGCGCACATCATGCGAATGGCCCCCAGTCTGGAATGTTCTCCTTCACTAGGTACTACCTCATCGGCTTCTTCACCCTCGGGGTTTTCTAAGGACATGGAGGACAGTTTCTTTTGGAGATTGTCAATTTCTCCCTTGTGTCGACATTCAAACCACTTGTGCGGTCCTCTGCAAAGGATACACGTCAATGGCCTGGCTGTCGAAGATGAACTAGGGGTGCTTCCTCTACTAGAGAAGGAAGAAGCTCCACTTTTCCGAGAGTCTTCTCCCCCACTCCTATTGTATCTATTGTTCGAGTTGTTGGAGCTCACTTGCGAGCCATGTCCGGAGTTCCTAGGAGGGTTCGGTGTCGGCCCGCTATTCCCTTTCTTCAAACCTTGTCCTTTCTCTGAGGAGTAGTCCATCAACCTTTCGGCTGCAGCGATGGCTCCCGATAAAGTATCAATCTTTTGGCGCCAAATTTCTCTTTGGGCCCATTCCTTAAGACCACGCACAAAGTTGAATAGGCGATCTTCCTCGGACATATTGTGGATCTCCAACATGCACGCTGAAAACTCTTTGACATACTCCCGGATGGAACCCTTATGCTGCAAAGCAGCGAGCTTGGTGCGAGCAACAAACTCGGTATTCTCGGGATAAAATTGGGCCATCAACTCTTTCTTCAGATCCTCCCAAGTATCCACTGACGTCCTCTTAGCTTGGATGTCGGTGTACTTGGTGCGCCACCAAAGCTTTGCATCATCCACCAAATACATAGTGGCGGTATCAACTTTTAACTCATTCTCCAACTGACAGACCCGAAAGTATTGCTCCATGTCGAAAATGAAATTATCGACTTCTTTTGATTCTCTCGTGCCATTGAAGGTCCGGGGCTTGGGAGGTTTTATCTTGGCACCTCCACTTCCCCCGAGCCCTCTCTGGGCACGCATTAAGGTTGCACATTTATCATGTGCTTCATCAGCGACGCCTTGCACGAAGTTAAGTTGCTCCGTTAACCCATCCACAGTAGCGGCAAGCCTCTCTATTTGGTCGGCTTGTTTTATTACAATATCCTCGAGTTTGGGCAGCCTTTCTTCAAGCATAGCCCACTGTTCGGACTTGCCTTCAAGCCAAGCAAGTCTTTCCTCGAATGTGTATTCATGCATCTTTCCTTCTTCTGCCATCTCTACGGCAAACTTGGCTCTGATACCAAACTGTCACGGTCCGAGTGATTCAACACCAGATCGTGCGGCGCGCTCTCGTCTTTTGGCGACAAGGGCGCAAGCCTAAAGCAAGGAGGTTCGTGAGCACACAGCAACACGGACCTACGGTGTCTCAAGAGGGCGCACGAGAACAACGAGTGCGGAGTCGGGGCTTGTGACGGCCGATACTTCGAAGCGGGCACAAGCGGAACCGACGAAAATGAGGACGTCTCTAGGGTCTCTTGGTTTGGTGGGGGATGCTTTAAAACAAGGCAAGCACAATATCTATAAAGGCTTAAACAACACACAAGTCTTAAAGCAATAACAACGGGGTAGAGAGCTTTGATTGAATAACCATTCGCTCCCTAAAGAGCTTTATATTGCATTAGTAGAGAATTACAAGTGAACGTTGAAATGACAGTAACACAATAATTCTCCCTAGGGTCTAGAAAAATAAAAAGAAAGACTAAAGAGACATTACATAAGGAAAATATAAGGAAAATAAAGAAGAATACATAACAAAGAGGTTGGATTCTAACACATAGACAAGAAGATTACTCGAACATTGACAAGAGACGAAGAATTCAACTTCAGAGCAGCTCATTGGGCAGATCTTCATCACCTTTTACTAAGCAAATTGCCTTCAGAAATTTTCTTATGGGGTCATCAGTTTCTGTCATTCTGCATTTCTGATGACAAGAATACAGTCACTGTCAAGGCAAAAATACTTAAAACAGGCGAAATCACAGAAATCGTTGGTGATCTTCTTGTTGCTGCAGATGGATGTCTCTCTTCAATTCGACAAACATTTCTTCCCAACCATAAACTGAGGTTCTTGTTTTTCATTCTATCTGATTGCATCAGTTTTGTCACTTCAACAACGATACGAGTTTTGTTGATGTAATCATCAGTTTTACAGGTATTCAGGATACTGTGCATGGAGAGGGGTGCTTGATTTTTCAGGTAATGAAGATTCTGACACTATAAGAGGGATTCGAAAAGTGTATCCAGATCTCGGAAATTGCTTATACTTTGATCTTGGACCGCAAACTCATTGTGTTTTTTACGAGCTTCTGAACAAAAGGATGAACTGGATTTGGTACATCAATCAACCAGAGCCAGATATTAAGGTAATTGAGAATGCTGGTATTTGTTTTTGGTAATTATCTGATAGGCAACTAATAGTAGCATGTTACAGTTACCTCGAGTACCTATGTTGGACCCTTATATTTTCGATTCCTTAATATACTTGCCAGATGCTCATATTGTGAGTTACCATTTCTTGCAGTCTGGTAGGCAACTGACAGTAGCATGTTACAATTACCTCAAGTACCTGTGTCGGATCCTTTAGCCAGATGCTCGTAATGTGAGTTATTTCTGGCAGTCTAAAGCCATACTGTATTAATATTGAGTACGTGTGAAATTTGCTTTCAGGCAAGTTCAGTGACTTTGAAAGTGAGCAAAGAAACAATCAAGCAGATGCAAGAAGATGCCGAGAAGATATGGGTTCCTGAGCTGGTCGATCTCATTAAGGCTACAGAGGAACCTTTTGTCAATGTGATTTACGACTCTGATCCTCTAGACCGGATCTTCTGGGACAACGTCGTGCTGGTTGGAGATGCAGCTCATCCCTCGACTCCTCATTGCTTGAGAAGCACAAATATGTCTCTTCTTGATGCAGCTGTCTTAGGCAAATGTCTCAAGAAGTGGGGTTTGGAAAATCTGCAGTCTGCTCTAACAGATTACCAGTCTGCTCGATTGCCTGTTATTACTAAACAGGTTCTTCATTCTCGACGTGTTGGCAGGATCAAACAAGGTCTTAATCTTCCTGATCGCCATCCTTTTGATCCGAAGAATGCTACTCCTGAAGATTGCTTTGAAATCCAACAAAAGAATGTACCTTTCTTTAGCATTCCTAACATACTGCTAAATTAGCAACTGAAAGTTGGTGATTAATATCCACTACATCATACTATCATAGTAGTGCAAACAGAGCTTTTTTTTCTTAAAAAACAATTGCACAATGTGAACTTGACTGGTTCATCTCTTCAAAACCATGAATTTCCTTCAAAACTGACCTTTTTTGCATTAGATTTGTTATTGCATTTACACTTTACAGTACTAGTTTTCCTGATGTAAGCATCAATTTTGCAAGTTTGCAGGCACTGCATGAAGTATATATGTCTGAAGTATATATGTCTGAAGTACCCTCTACATTTTGTTCAGAATGAATAAGCGCTATAAGCCTATAACTATGTCTGGAAGCATACATGATTTCTGAATGCCAGAACGATTAAGCGCCATAACCATGTCTAGAAGTAGAAATAATTCATGAATACTACACAGATGATAGATACTTGAGGTAACAATCATTGGGTGGTAAAAGATCATTTCTTTAATAATGAGGGTTTTGAATATTTTGGATCAGTTCTATAGAAAAATGCAGATATTGACTACAGTGTGATTCACACAATTAAATCCATGTGACTCAAATAGAGAGCAACAACTTTGTATTGTGCAACTGTATTACATACTTCAACAGCTAAAGTAAAAAATACCCGTAAGATAGCTACTAGACCATCAATTTTACAACATACAAGTGCAAATGTCGAAATTAATTCGTTGAAGTTGTAACACTTTGAGAATAAAAGCTAGAAGAAATTTATTCAACGAAAAGTCGAAGATATTGAGGATAAAATAAGAACTAATTGTACTGGATTATTTCTAATACGATTCAATAAAATGTTTCCAAGGCAAAGTTACGAGAATACAGCCCCTTAATTATGCGAATTAAAATCGAAGATGAAAGCATTAGCAGAAGTGTCTCATATGTTGCAAGCAAAAACAGGAACAAAAATATATCAAAACAAGTCGATATGCATCTACTAAAAGATAAACACTAGGGGAAATTAGTAAACGTTATTTTCAACACTATTGATTAAAAGTGGCATCACATTTGAGCTAGTGGAAATACTAACATTGCCAACAGACCACACTTCATCTTTAATCCTGAATTATGGGATGGTCATTGACCACATTAGAGATTCAAAAGACTAGAGAATAAAACATTTCAGGCGAATTTTGCCTTTCTACTTTGCATAACAAGAGATGGTGGCTTTGTAAGTTCAAACTTAGCCGGACCATGAGATGGGAGAGACCACAATACTCCTCGAATATCATGATTAATCAACACCTGGTAAGCACCTAGGTCAGCAATAAAACTCGCTCTATCAAGAAAAATAATGCACATACAGAACCATAGATCATATATACAAATTATATGACTGCTATGACAATTTGATAGCTGGTTATTGCTAACTAAAGCACACGGAGTTGAGCAAGGAAAGCTGCGCAAAGATCAAGGAATAGCATCTGCGGTCCCTGAACCCTTTGTAGATCAAGTAAATACTTCTCCTCACGGGTCTTGTACAGCTGTGAGACAATCACAGCAGAAAACACGTTAAAAATTATACACTTATAAAATAAAAGATCAATGCTAAAATGTTACTTTACTTGTATTATAGCCTACATCACATAAGCAGCGATATTAAATTGCAAAATCCTAGAGAGAAACTCAAATTGCAAAGGTGATTAGAAACGGTGCTAAAATGCTGTGATTAAAAGATTATCTGGTAATACTGTACTGTTTAAATTTTGAATGAAAGGTAAAATGATTTCCACAAAAAATTAGCCCCTTCTAACTTCATTTTTCTTCAATAGGAAGTACAGATACAGAGACATTACAACAAAGTACAAAACATACTCTTGTCTTCTATACATGACTTTCAATTATCCCCAAATTTTCAATCTGAATCTCATATTAGGCTTCCACTTTTTCTTCATTACCGCATGATTTGGCAAGATGAGATGAGACAAAAAACAGAGGGAAATGATTTAAAATTAGTGCAACAATGATAGAAACATATCAAGTGTTTAAGCTTCCCTTTCCTATAATCCTACCACTCCTTGTAAAGACAATTTTAACTACTATTCTTTTTCTTGTTTCAAGGAGAGGAGAGCGGGTAATCGGGTATGATAAATAGATGGATAGAGTAAGAGAGACAAAGTAAAAGGGTGGGCGGGAATAAGATAAAGGTGAAAACAATATAATCTTCTAAATTGTCAGGCATGCATCACTTATGCTCACAACAAATCATTTTTTTTTTTTAAAGTTTAAATCTACAGAAAAAACAAACGAAATTCAAACTCAGTCATTACAACATAAGCATTTACAAAAACATGGGCAACTTATAAGTTATAAAGCAATAATAAGCAAATTTTGGAGGATTGATGGATTAATCATATAGAGCAGGAGTCACCAATCAATGATATGTACGAATTGGCATCTAGAAATGACACATACCTGCACCTCAAACTTCACAACGTTGGGAGACCTCAACACTCCATCATTTTCAACTATGTTGGACTCGTCACCAAAATAATTATGTACAGGATTATCAACCATCCCTTCATGTTGACCAGGAATGCCGGGAATCCATCTGCACTTCATGTTATAATGCCCAACCTTTTTCCAGCAGACATTCAACTCTTGCAAGGCTTTAAGAACTTCAGTCATAATCTCACGAGGATGAGCTCGAGACTGCAACCAAATAGATAACACAACTTACAAATCAAAACCTATTGGGGAAGCTATTCTGGAAACACCCAAAAGAGAACAAAGTTTGGCGAACTGTTATTGCAGTAGTAATAATGCCAGCAAATCCCTATTTTGTTTTTGAGAGATAGATTAGGGAATAAGAAAATGCATGTTTGATATTTCAATAATATAATGTCAATTTGGTGAGAAAAAAAAATCCTGAACACTTTTTCCAAATCATACCCAAAAAGAGACTTAAACCAAACATGGGAAAGTGACATTGTCCCTTTCAATTCCATTCCCATCGATTCCTTCCAACAGGCCTTTATACTTTTTTTTTTTCTTTTTTTCTTATCAGCCTTAGACCCTAGAGGCTCATACAATTATCCACAATTCACGTTGATTGATTACTTTTCTTCAAGCATAATATCCTATTTGAAGAAAATAGGTACCCTTTAAACAAATCAAAATAAATATACCAAGGATAAACCCTAGCAGAAATACAAAAACTCAAAACGCCAAGCTTCAAATAAGGTTATTGAATATAAAAAATGATATGGGTTTTTTATGCCCCCCCCCCCCCCCAACCACCACCACATACACTCCTACCACAATGATTCATAAATTACTGGACACCCAACAGAGGCTGAACATTTAAGTCAAGGGAGAAAAAACAAATGTACATAACAACAAACCTGTAACCCCAAAGCCCATTTCCGCTCAACAGGGAACTGTGGTCGCAAGCCGATTCCCTGGTAATCAACATAACCATGATACTGGTGCCCAGAAACAGGAGAAGCAACTTCATTTGGATGCATGCGGCCAAAATTGTTCTCCTAAAAAAGCAAAGGAAAAAACATTTAAAGAGAAGCCTACAATGCTACAAACAGAGATAACTGCTTTCAATTCATTAGTAAAAAAAAAAAAAAGAAACCAAAAAGACAATATTGCTTCACTGCAATTTTTTAAGAGCAGCATGAAATCTTCAAAAGTTACAAGAAACATCAACCAATAAAAGATAAAGAATTTGTCAAGCAAAGAAATACCAGTTGCTCCAACATACATTCATAACTTTGAAGCAAGTCACTTGTGGACTAATATCAAGAAAAATAAATCTGCAAGAAAAAAATTACACACCATTGTTTCTTGGAACTCAGCCCCAAGATAGCCACTTGAAGCTCGGAAGCGGTTATCAAAAAGCAAATAGTATGCAACAGTCCCCTATGAACAAATTTGAAATCAGTTTCCGTATTAATACAAAAATATTAAGATGGCAGAAAATACTATACATATTAACACCTCATTTTGGAGCCTATTGCGGAGAGAGTCAATTAACTGGTTTCTGTCAAATCCCATCCTAACAACTTCCTGGAGTATCTCTTCGTCAATCTGTAGGAAGTATAAGGTCAATTCACATATTGACTACAAAAAGATCAAAGAGCAGAAACATATCTTATGCCAGTAACAGAGCATAATCATCGAGATATTTCTCAGAGATATCTCAGGGGCATTGCACTACCCTCAATGGCATAAATGATGTAAGGTTAACCAATAGAGATTTAATGCGCGATGAGACCCAAATCTGACAGATAGTCAGTGATGTCTCCCACTCAGGAACCCAGCATATCCAACAATTACAAAGGCATATACTTATTCCAACAGAAAGATCCATGGGCAAACCTTCTTCGCCTGTTGCATTGTATCTGGAGGTGGCACGGCTAAATAACGAGGAAGATGAGCTTGAAACCATGTATGTTGACGGATCTCTGGGATTGTAATCCTCTTCATAGGATCAACTACAAGCATCCTGGGAATCAGATCTCTAGCTCCAGGTGATAAATGACTTGGAAGGGTGTATATCCCACCCTACACAATAAAAATCACATGATCCCGCAATTACTCTTCATGATATAATATAAGCTTGATTAAAAATCCTTTTGTCCCCAGCTCATTACTGAAAATTTACACTCAGTTCAATTGATAATAAACCTCATAGTATTATGCAATTTATGGGCCAACAACCATGCCATGACCCAACTTTCCCAACCACTCAACAATTTTAAATAAGATGAACTATTAAAGCAGAATTTTTTTTACTTTCTTTTAAAAAAAAATAAAAATAAAAAAAAATAAAATAAAAAAATCCATTTTCAAAAATGATAGCAATATTCAACACATAAAAGATATTGCATGTACTCCAAATAAGTTTGTGCAGTAACACTACCCAATAGAACTCGTTACATCGTTCTGCTTCAACCCATTATTGTACAGATTAAAATACAAAGGAAAAAATTGCTAATGCAGAATGATTACCCCCCCCCTCTTTCTCCACAAAATAAAAAGGTAAGCAATTAGAGAAAGAGATTAAAAATAAATAAAATAAATAAAACCAAGTTTAAAAAGACTTCACGATTCTAAAGAGGTTCCAACGTGTTGCTTGCCCTTATTAAACTCCAAAAATTGTTTCCCTCATGTTCCTTTCAGATGAATTAACAACAATAACACCTCCCTCTTGTATTTGATTTCTCAAATAACATGCATGAACAGTGTCCTGTCCTACCACACAATATGTAAAAACTAATTAGTGTAGATAGTTATATTAACCATAGGTCTCATATTACCATTATAGCAGTTTAGTAAGGTTAGAATATCTCAGGACTTTCAAATCAAAGATGAGGATATGAAACATAGTGCTCCTGCTCTCATCTTCCTCAAAAGACAGGTCATTCAGCAAAGTCAATATAATAAGTACCAATCAAAGTCAAAACTTTTCTTCAACCCCAAATTATCAATATACAACTCCATCCTCTAAAGAACTAGTAAGACTAACATCATGTCATGTACCAGAATTATGAACCTTAGATGTATTTCCTCAATCACTAAAAATGACACTTAGAACATTGGATCAACTATCGTCCATTCATCCACCATAGACTAGGTATCCTCAATACCCAGACTATCAAGTATCAAACTTTCCTTACACACATTTCAAGAACTATTGACATCCCAAATCATCACAATCGACATCCTCACATGCTGATTCCCTACAAGTACTAGCCAATTAATATCCGTCATTTGATGAGCTAAAAGTGGAACTTACCCATATACAATAATCAGACTGATAGCTAAATACCCCATATAGCATAGTGTACATCACATGTGCCATAAAGCATGCCATCTCACCCGCTTCATCTTTTTCCAAACAGAGACGTAACTACAAGTAAGTCAATTCTCTAGCCAAAGCAGAGGTGAAGCCTGACAATAGCAACCAAAACTCTCAATTTTGACCTAACCTGCCAACTATTGCAACACAATTTATGATAGCCCAACAATCATCGCTGATCAGACTCCTTTTTAGTCAAATATAAAAAACTGGGGGACTTTCCTCGGAGATTTACCTTTATGGATCTAGAGATCAAGAGAGCCATTAACAATAAAAAGAGAAAGCAAGAGAGAGGGATGTGGAAGTGAATAATAAATTGAGGGAGAAGAGGCCACAGGAGAGAGTGTTAGAGAGACTTTAAACAAGTAGGTTGTTATATGGAATCAAGAGTGAGAAAGGAAAAAGAAACATCTTAAACAATTTTCATACTAGGTAAGAAATATATAAGATATTTAGGAACAAATTCCTCCTGTGTTTGATTAAACAAAGTAACTCTCTTTCTTTTCTTCCTCAATTTTTTATACTGATTTATAAGGATCAAGTGACACAGCAGTTAGGGGTTTCCAATAATAGGACAAATTTCCAAGGATCAATGACATTTCTACTTTTCTTGGCTATCACATAAAAAAAAATATGAAAATTTAAATAAACTACATGTAAGCAGAGCCAAAAAGCTACAGTAAACCAATCATGATCAGTGACACGGCAGTTTAGGGGTTTCCAATATTCACACTAAGGATCAATGACACTACACCACAATATTGACACTAAGCATACATGCAAAAAACCACAAGACCTGGTGGCTGTCGAGCAACAAAAATTCAGAATAACACATACCTTAATTTTCTTGAAAAGGTTGGGAATGTTTTCATCATCAAAAGGTAGAGTACCACAAAGAAGAGCATATAAGATAACACCGCAACTCCACACATCAACTTCAGGACCAGCATAGAGTTTTCCAGAAATTACCTAAGGGTACAAAAGAAAGGCAGACCATGTTTCAAAGAATTATCATAAACGTCTACTGATGACATTAGCCACTAGGCCCACTAGTATTCTGACAAAGCACAGTTTAAATAACGTATTCTGGACAATGAAATGACAAAATAAATGTACGAGAATCAGCTCCAACAACATGCCGACTCACAGTATATCAAAGTGCAATTCTTTTCACATATCCTTGAAAATTGACAATATAAAACCAGGAAAGGCTAGACAATTTAAACAAAAATAAGAAACTTTAAAAGAATTGAGGACATAGTGAAGTGATAACAGAACAATAATTTGGCAAGCAAGATTTTTCAAGAAACAGCTAAATGCCAAACTGGAGGCTTTGATATTCAATCTCTGCCTTAAAAAAACAAGCGGTATAGGATAAATCACCCTTGGATCAATGCACTAGCATATACGCTTGATAAGGTCAAATAATAAATTGCACACATTTGGGGGGGGGGGGGGGTACCTCAGGGGCTGCATAATTTGGGCTTCCACAGCTGGTCTTCAGAAAATGACCATCTCTCATAATGTTGCTCAAACCAAAATCCGCTATCTTCACATTGTGATGCGAATCTAATAGAAGATTTTCGGGCTTCAAGTCTCTATGGACAACCATATTCCTGTGACAATACTCTACTCCTGATATAATCTGGTCCAAAAAAAAAAAAAAAAAAAAAAAAAAAAAAAGCAACAAAAACAACTTTAAAATGACAGAAAATTTTATTTGAGAGATATGACAAGTAATATAAGAAAAGAGAATTCTACCTGTTGGAAAAAATTTCTTGCTTCATCCTCTTGTAACCTACCCTTTTCCACTATGTAGTCAAATAATTCTCCAGACTTGACATACTCCATCACAACATAAATGTCCGATGGTGTCTCAATAACTTCATACAGTCGAATAATATGGGGATGCATGAACAGTCTCAAAATTTTGATTTCTCTTCTCACTACAAAAGCAGAAAAGAAATGATTCCATTATCTTAAAAAGATCCTAGTTAAGCCTAAGAGCAAGTAAAAACAATAACGATCTAGCAATCAAACATCAAGAGCCTACATAGTTCACAACAAGATGATAGCGCATGAAACCAAGCCATACATAGTTGAAATTCAACTCAAAAGGCGATTAAATTGTGGCCAACAACAAGATATACGATAAAACCAATATCATCAACATACATTGAGAAAGGGGTTTCAACCATCAAAAAACAACCTTATCCCCTACAGATTTACATAATCAATCATGCTAGTTATGTACACTGAACCACTATAGTTGAACTCAAGTACACTAAAATGCCACACCTACTGAAGGAATCCAAAAATTGATTCGTTTAAGCTTCCTAGGTGTTCGATTGCTCTTCAAACACATTACCCACACATATTCATCTAAACTTACAAGTTCTCGCTATTCCAACGTCATCAACTCATGAGCACACAACTATTGAGGAACAAACAAAGTCCAAAGCCCATAATGGATATAACAGTAAGAATAATTTTAACATTACAACATACAGTGACAGTCTAGTGAATAAAACACATCAATCATAAAACATCTAATGCCAATAAAATCTATAGCATAAGAATGATGATATGATAATAACAAAAACCATACCTTTCTCCTCCATCTCCATATTTTTAATCTTCCGGCGATTCAAAATCTTAATGGCAACTTTATGACTAGTCAATTTATGCTCAGCAATCTTCACCTTACCAAATGAACCAATGCCAAGAGTTTTACCAAGATTATAATTTTGCAAGAAAACATCCACACTGCTGCCGCCTCGGCCGCTATGTCCGTCCATTTCCCTGCAATAATTCAACACTAAGAATCAATCCTAAGGTATATATAAACAATATATAGGTCAACTTTCATCAATTCAACACTTAACAAGCACTCCACCATATTGGATCTAACCCTAATTGCCACCATTACCAAGCTCACTATCATGAAATCAATTTCCGATCCAAATTAACAAAATTCAACACAATATAACACAAGATTAATACCCGGAAAATTCCCCAAATCTGGAAATTAATTTGACCTAAAAAATGGAAAGAAATGAGCAATCAAAGTCTAAGAAAACAAAAACAACGATTGATTGAATTTACCTGGGGACTGAATTCAATAATCTGGAAAAATTAAAACCCTAAATCAAATTGATCCTCGAATTGGGGAAAAAATTGTAGGGAAGGAGGACGGACACCCTTTGGCTGTATTTTAGTTTGGGTTGATACTTTTTATTATTTCAGAAAATCAGAATCTAATAATCTCACCATATTTTGGGGTTTTCGGGTTTTGGACCTGAGGTTTGTTAACAATCTACGGCTTAAAATCCAAGTGAAAAAAAATTACTCATATTATATAAATATGTTCGATTTGTTACTTTTTTATTGCGACGGATAAGAAATTATTTTTGCAAAACTAAAATTATTTTTATTTATTATTTATTATTTATTTTACTTCTTTTATTATTTTTATAGGATTGGATCCACCTTTATTGAATAGAAATTATTTTATTGAATATGAGTATTAGTTTTTTAAAGAAGAAGATTTTATGGTTTTTAGAGTGAAGATGATGAGCTAGCTATTCAAAAAAAAAAAAAAAAAAAAAGTGAAGATGATGAGGGTTTAAATTGGATATAACCTTTAATCGCATTTGAAAGGTTTGAGATGTTTAGTCAAGAAACATTAAGCCACGTGAACGCTTAGAGTATTTCCAATAGTTTAATTATAAGGACTTGCTTGCAATATAAATAAAGTTCCTAGCTAGTAGCTACATACTTACCATTGGAGAACAAAAAATTGAGCAACATGCCAGCTACATGCTTGATTGAAAAAGAGACAAATAAACTCCACTCATATTGCAACATGTGTATAATTATTTATTCATTTTTTAAATTTTTTTTTTTTTTTTGCAAACTAAAAGATGTTGTAGCTTACCATTAGAACACTTTGTCGCTAAAAAGTGTTGTAGCTTCAAAATTGATGTGGAAAATCAAGGTACAAAGCATTGTAGCTTGCCATTGGAGTTACTCTAGGAGCATCTCCAGTGGCTGTAGCTAGGGACTTGCTTGCAATATTAAATAATCCTTAGCTATTAGTTTAACCATTGGAGCTAGAAAACGCAATTTACTTGGAGAAAAACTTGCTAAAATAAAACAAATTAGAATTAATAAAATGAAATTTATCAACGTAAATTAAGGAGGTGTGGTCCATTTAAACAGTAAGTTATTAACTAGCCATTGAAGCTAAAATGACAATTAGCTTAAAAAATTATGTGGCATGGCAATCTAATTTGACTTAGCTTGACATGGAGTTGCTTTATAAACTTCATTAATTTCAAATCAATTAATTACAATCCATTTTATAAACTTCTCGTATTTATAAGATGAATAATTAGCATAAAAATCGTGTATAACAAAATCTAATACTAGTAAAACTAATGATAAAGTGAAATTACGGACCATTGTAATATTGTCGTTTCAAGAACAAAAAAAGGTAATTTCACTAGAAATCCAGCAGATTATATGCCGAATAATCCACGCAATGGAACCGAGGTTTAGAGAATCCCCTTAAAAGCTCTCTGAGTCAGCGAGGGCTTGGCTAGTTTAAATCCACAAATTTGTGAAGGATTGGAACAACCAGTTCCATTATGAGTTGTCCATCTACACCTCGGCACCATCTTAGTCTTACTCCGCGGAACAATTCTGTCCTAATCGGAATTGCCATTTTCATGAAGCTGTGTTTTGCAATAGTTTTTAATATTAAGGCTTGGCTAAACTTCATGTGTCTTTGCGTGTGTGATTTATAGCAGTAAGTATCATACATTGTGACATGGCTAGTAATATTCAAAATACAATTATACAAACAAGAAACTAACACGAGTTTAACTTTAATAAATATTGCATCAAAATCAGAATTTTCATAGTAATCATAATATGGCTAATTATGTAATCCAATTAATCGCACTAAAGCCTCTATGCCATCATAGGAAATGTGTGGCCTAATGAGCTCAAAACAGAACTTTATTTTTGTGTACATGAATAAGAATTACAAGATAAATAAATAAACAATAATCTCTTCCAGCTGATGAGTTTTCGGGAAACAAAGCAGCGAATCTCTCCCTTATTATTCAAGAATTAGAATAACAACATAAAGCTACCAAAAAAAGGCAATAAGTATCATACATCAATCTGCTATTATGATCTCAATTTCAAGGAGCGAGACAAGATGTTTTAGATTTACAAGGGAATAATAGTAATTCCACAAAATGAACTGCATTTCAGGCTTTTCAGCTTACTGAACATGGAAATGGAGCGAGGTTCACTATTTTACACGAAGTTGGATGGTGCAAATCATGCAGCCTTTGGCCATGTTGCTTGGGCTGACATGATGATACCAACAATCACACCGAACAACCCAAGGGCACTACCAAAAATCTCAATAACCAAAATCTTCACAAACAGTGAGGAGTTTTGAGCATCAGATAAAGCACAACTGCTTCCAATTATACCCACACATAACCTGTTGCAGAGTCATAAGTTATATATCAGAATATCAGATAAATGAGAGGTTAAAATTTTTCAGAATGCAGGTGGCCAGTGAACTGGATCCAATCCATTGCAGCCTGGCTGGCTTCCAGGCTACTTGGATCAGTCCACCAGGTGGACGAGTATAGGTCAAACTCCACCGGAACCAGCCTAATCCAGTTACCCATCAAACTTTTAGACAAAAAGGTGGCCAACCCGGACTGCCCCCCAGCCTACCTGGCTCAATGGCCACCTCTACTTCCAGAAGTTTCGTTCAAGGTCAAAGAAAGTTTACTCACCCACAGACAAGATTTGCAAAACCCACTATAAGTCCAGATGCAAAGATTGCATATCCTGCTCTAAGAGACTCTGGTTCATAAATCAGAGATGACGGGACACTCTCCAGTTTTGTTTGCAGAATGATAGCCACAATTACTCCATATATAGCTACAGCTTCACAAAAGATTACACTGAGAAAAAAAAGAACAAGTTGGTTACTCAAATAGCCAACAAGTAGATGAAAAACATATAGAACATTTCTATCTAAACACATGCCATTGAAATGTTTACTATTTCACCATTACACACATTGATTGATTGATAGCATTGTTCTCTAACCGAACAAAATCAGGATTCTGATTGCATATATAATCATGAATCATCAAATATAAATCTATGACTCCACCAATCAATAAACTCATTACTGCCCTCGGACTATGGGGCGGGCTGGAGGGGAAGTCTGGTGCAGTGAACAAAGTTAATCTAGTTTAGGGTGTTCAAAAGTTTGGAGCAGCTAGTAAATAGTAATTGTTGATCCTCTTTACATATTTGTATAGAGACTGGAGAAAATTCAATGAAGAACTGACCTTGATTGAAAAAGACCATATTGAAAGTACGGTAAGTAAAAAGGAGAAATTGTTAACAGGCTATTAAAAGACTAAAAGCAATGGCCATTATCAGAATTCAAAAGGCCTTATTTATGCTATACTTCAGCTCTATCCAAATCATGAAGGTCAAAAGGTTCTATAAGAGAGCATATAATTTCAAGAACCTCGAGGTAAAATGCAGATGGATGATGTTTCTGACTATCCAATGTTTCATTTAATCAGTCCTTAACCAAACATCCTCACAATCTCGATACCTTGTGATATTATATTACAATTTCTTCCTCTCTTTTTCTACATACTGTCATGAAGTGAGCAAAACCTGCACTTTCAAACTTCATGCTCCTAAAAAAGTCAATAAAAACCACGATCCTCATTGTACTTATAATACTCCATAGTACATGTACTTTGCCGAATGGCCGCCTCAATATAAACAGAAGAGCATACCTCATCAACTCTTTCTTATCGAAAAGTAAGATTTCTAGTCATTTATGCACATCGACCATTAATTACGGGGGGGTGGGAAAGTTGATGTAATGGTACTTTTGCTGTCTCATAATAAGGAATAATTGTCATTGCCTGTATTAAAAAATTTAGTTGATTTTAGTAGTAAGGAATTAAGGATGCTTTATGTGGTTATTGTCTCGGAAAGGGACTTGCACTGTTATTTTTTAGAAATTAGGGAGTAACGTTTTGTATTTGAAATAAATATGTTTTGCTTAGAACTTTCATTAAATGATTTTTACTTTCTGTGCATTTTCTGATAGTGAATATTATGATTTTAATGCATATGCTAAGATAGAAGGAGATTTAGCAATGCATCAGTTCAGGCTATGAAATTGTGACATTCAAGGTTAAACCAGGACCTAAGGAGAAGCGCATGATTGTTGTAATCTACAAGAGTGAGGACAGGCAGTTGCTGTTGAGGAAATTTCCTCTATGGTCCTTACCAAGATGAAGGATAAATGCAAAGTATAACATAACAAAAAACACAGAAACAAAAGTAGTTTATTTAAAATCTTACAGTCCTATGCTACCTGAACTCTTCATTTCAACAAAATAAGAGCCTTGGAATTCTGACAATTTGAACATGGGTTTGGACACATTACATCATTTTGAACAAAAATCATCAAGACAATTTACAAAACATATGGATGACAAACATAGTTACATAACTACATAGTATAAGTGTAATTATAATTATAACAGAACAACCACCCTAACAAATCATTCAAAAGAAATACAAAATGAATCAAAAAGCAAACAACTTTTATTTCAATAAAACATTAACACAAACAACAATCCATCTCCAAATAAAAAAAACACTACCCATATAAACCACATGTTTAAAGCATGATTATAACTTTTATATATAGATTCATGTCCAGAATCATATTAATATTTAGACAACTTTAGGATGATAAAAAAATTTACTGAAACAGAGATTCTCTTCTCATTGTAAATAGATTCATCAATCCCCAATTCACCAGGAACCATATTCTTAGTAACCACTAACAAGAGCATCTTCTTTCCCCTTAGCAATAAACACACCCTTATGTATGTGTTGCTCAACAATCACTTTCCTTCCACTCTTCATCCCTCCACCTCTTTATCCGCCACACTCAAGATATGTAAGGGTCAAATGCAGATCCATAATGTTTCTGTCTATCCAATGTTGCTCTAAATCAGTCCTTATCCAAATATCCTCACTAATCTCAATACCTTGTGACCTTATGTTACATTTTTTTTTCCACTCTTTTCCTACATACTGCCATGAAGTTAAGCAAAAGTGCAAAACCTTACACTTTCAAACTTCATGCTCCTAAAAAAAGTCAATAAAAACTACGATCCTCATTTTACTAAAAGTACATAAACTTTGCTTGCCTCAATTCGAATGAAAGAGCATA